AACCTCGACAATTCCATGACTTTCGACAAGTTCTTCCACTACACGCACCTTGCTACCTCCACCTTTAATACGATCATCACCTTCAACCATACTTAGTTGCTAAAATCTTATACCACAAACCATCCTGGTCAACATGCATCCTTCACAACCACTTGCATATCAAGGCAAAATTGAAAATTTGTATCCTCCCATCCCTAACCCACCTACTTCCTTATCTACACACACTTTATCTAAATTAATCCAATGGGTTTTATGCACCCTCTTCACACAAAAAAAACTTAATAAGAATTCAATAGATAAATAATACATGCAATAGAAAATTGACATAGATGTTAATACATATTTGATGAAAATAAAGTGACCACCCATGGACAGGTTTTCGCTTTTCCCCTATTTTGGAGTCTTGGGTAGTGAAATATAATCTTGTCAATTTTATAATTTAGCACCACTGAAACCTCCAAAGAATACGTAACATTATTATTGATTATCACACTTATGAAAATTAACCTTTAAACCCACAATGATTTCAAAGAAAATTAAAACCGCCTTCAAATATCTAATATTTTCTCAACTCTCCTTGCATAAGATCAAAGTGTCATTTCTAAATTGCAAGTGGAAGATTATGAAATTAAAGTATTTGCATATCCTCTAACTTATGCAAATCGAAGTTGAGTGAAGCGTTCAACATAAAATTTAAGTCTTTTGTCATGATCAAGAATAAAAACGATTATAGAGGGCCACGCCGCCCCAAACCTCTCTCAATTGTAAATTATTTAGTTAAACTTATGTTAATGAGGATAAACACTGAAGCTAGTAAAGTCCTTGCACTCAATAATGAATATCTTCATCTCGTTCGAATGTCCACATTTTCGTTACAATTTTTGAATACCCCTTATTCTATATAATTACATGTTTTTTCTATAAAAAAAACACTTTAAACATCATCAAATATTTTTTTTGACTAGGTGTCAAAAATAACAATATTAATAACAAGCATCATACAGTTTAACATTAGACATAACTTTATACATACACCTCCACTAAAGAATTCAGTTAAAAGTCTGACAATGTTTAAGGATATTGATTTTAAGAATCAAGATGAGTAAAGTGCAATTAGAATCTTTAACAAACTTTGTCATTTATAAAGAAATTTGACACAAATCTCATAAATCTAATTTAAGATCCGACCAAATTTATTTTTTAATGAAACCAAAATCAATTTCATCCGAGTGTGGGCTCTTGTAGCTTTCACATTCCAACCTAATTGTCTTCACTTTTTCCTCAAAAAAAAAATGACTAACTTGCTAAACCATCTCACTATCTCTAAAATTCTTAAATTGAAAAACTATTTTCGAAAGTTAAATATTTTCCAAATTTTTTAATTCTAAATATCTAATTTATATATTTTCTTAATATATATATATATATATATATATATATATATATATATATATATATATATATATATATATATATATATATATATATATATATATATATATATATATATATATATATATATATATATATGTTTATGATAGAAATTAGCATGATTATTAAAAAAAAGACTACTATTTTGATATGGAACAGATATCTAAAATGGAATTGAATTGGACTGAATCAGATAGAAAGTGAAATTGGACAAGAGAGGACTTGTAACTTGATACTATTTCCTTGGACATGAAAAAATGAACCACTTAAAACCGACTCAGATGAGCGACAATCTTGATTTGCACCAACAAATCATCCTTGAGATCAATTTCAACATCCTGAACTTTTCCTCGTACCAGAACTGCATTGAGACCTCTAATCAACCCTATGAGGAATAAATCCATATCCTTACTCCAACTTGAGACAATCTTGACGAGAACATGACTTGAAATGTTGACCAGAAGTCTTAACTTGATGGCTCTGCCACTTGACCTCATCAAATAGACTTTGATCTGGCACAAAACCCTAATCTTGATCATTTGACAATTGGCAGACATAAGCTTCTTAAAGCTGGCACTTTCTTGCCTTCCAAATAATCTACAACACAAATGACTTGAACTGAAACTACCACTGCACCAAAACCTTGATTGAAAGTGAAATGGCTCTAAAGATTATCTATTATGAAACAAATGTTTTTACCATAGCCTGGTACTTGGTATTGAATCAAACTATCTCTATGACCAAAATCAGGTCAAAATTTCATTGAATTTCAAACCACACAATGCACATCTTTTACCTGATAATCTTGCCTGATCCTTGATTCATTCTTGCAAAACCCGAGCCTCGGAGAACTTGTGATGAAACCAAGTTACACTGGCTTATTGAAGGAGAAAGGTCTCTTAAGAGTATGAGAAACTGATTGGTTGATGAGCTATCCAAAACCTTGATTGATCAAACCTTGAGGCTTCTCGGAGCAAACCCGAATTCCACAGGTGAAACAAAGCAAAACAAAGTCTGATAATTCAGTTAGTTATGCAAGGATGATTGGCCTAAGATGCTTATGTAAATGATGATGACATCTAAGGGATGAAATTTGGGGTATGCCACTTGTATCTTGAATTGTTGTGAAAATTCTGGATTCAGATTTCTTGATTTGAATTAAGGGGTAAATTCTGCATTTTTATGTCCCTCAGTCGAGTCACAACAATCATGATTCGAGTCATGAGAGGCTTGATTCAAATCATGTCAACTCTGAGTCGAATCACAAGAGTTTTGGAGGTTTCTATACATTTTGGTTAGTTGATTCGAGTCATAAGATCTCCATATTCGAATCAGGAAGACAAATTGTGTCTAAAACCCCATTTTCATCATAACTTGAGTTTGGAACCTCCGATTTAGGTGAGACCAATTGCATTAGAAGGCTTACGTAAAGATCTACCTTATGGTAACGTTTCTTAATACTTGCATGTATGTGTGATGTTTGTTATTAATAAATGATTGTAAGGTAAAGTAAGAACCGTTGGTAACCTAGACATGGTTCAAAGTTTGGTAAAATTATTGCTAAGCTTTAATGTGGAAATCAAAGTCAATGTGTTTCAAAAGAGGAAAAAGCTTTGGGAGAAATTTATGTATGTTTTTTCATATATCATACTAGAGTGAAAGTAGATTTTTGTTTAGCAAAAGCGTTGTAGTATGGACGTAGCTCTTATGTACCCTTAAACAATTTTGTTTAGCAAAAGTGTTGTAGTATGGGACGTGGCTCACATGCACTCATAACATATAGAACTCAGGGAGAGGTTGTGCTCAGAAATGTAGCCCGCAAGTACCCCCTTGAATATATCATGAGTTCAGTGACTAGCGCCACATGCATCTGGAGTAGGAGATATAATGCATTGCATAAGTATTCATGTGTATATTGTGTAATGTCGTAACACTTTGTGTAATGTCGTATGACTTTGTGTAATGTCATATGACTTGGTGTAATGTGTAGAATTATGATATTGGTTGTGTGTTATGAGTTGTACTACCCTTTGTTGTTAACATACATGGTAATTTTTAGAATGTATTCTCACCCTTATATTTATACGTTACCATGATGCGAACCTATATGCAGGAAAACCTCTGGATGAGAAATAGGAATAGTCGCATTGTTATACGGATATTGAAGATGGTATAAAAGACCACTCCATTAGATATCACTTTTGTGTTTATCTATGCTGACTTCTTAAATTAGTTAGTATGTCAAGTTGTATTAAGGCTCTAATATTGTGACATTGAGATAGAGATATATGTTTTCAATTTATTATGCATTGGTTTAATATTTTAAGCAAGTACTTTACTATGAGAAATATATATGTTAATTTGAGTTAATGTGATGCCCTATTTAAGTGAATTATGCGTTATACAAGTATATGTTTTGTTAATATAAAATAAATATTCCCCAAACAATACTTTATTAAAAGAAAAAAAAAATAGAGTTTTACGGTGTCAGTAGAAAACAATCACCTTAGAAGGTGTCTAACTAACCCAAATATGAGGGAGAGATAATTGCAAGAATATGAATGGTGGCTTGAAAAATTAGAATAAACTTGAAAAATAATAAGTCAAAAGAGAATGATGAGCAGATGACACCGAAAAAGTATCATACATTGCCAACTTTCAAATCTACTTATCTCTTTCTAATGAAAAAGTATACCCTCAAATAACCTAAGAAGAACTCAGCAACAATAGATTCCTCATGAACAAAGAAAAACCTGCACCACCTGAAATCTCAAATGAAAGTTTCATCTATCCACCTACCTACCTCTCTCACACTCTCCTTGAGATAACCAATGATCGTTAATAACTTAGGAAAAATATCATAAACAGATAAACTCTTAATCCAAGAGTCATTCTAAAAAGATGTATAAAACTCTGGTTCAACCTTTCTAGTGATACCATCTGAAGTGTCTTCCTCTCTCAAATTAAAATTACTTATTTTAATGATATCTTTTTTTATGATATCTTTTAATATACTTCAACAATTTTAATATTATTTATTTTGTCAGATCAAACTCTTTCATTGGATAAGAAAATTAATATACTTAGTTTATCAACATATGAAGCCTTTTAAATACTTTAATTGGATAAGAAAATTAATATACTTAGTTTATCAACATATGAAGCCTTTTACGTACTTTAATTAGAGGTACTTTAATTAGAGATACTCTTAGCCATATTGTACTTTAAATAAAGTTATAAATATATAGTTTTGCAATGGAAAATCAATTGCAAAACCATAAGGTTTGCCCCTCATGAATTCCATTAAGTGTAATTTAAAGGTCTCATGTTTCATGATTGAAAAGATAAATATACATTGCTTGAATTTTTTTTAGGCTTAAAATGCACTTTCATATGAAAAATAAAAAGCTATACACTACTTGAGTTAGGTGATATTAACGTGTTGGCGTAAGGTTTAATCTTTGGCGACAATATTTATTTATATTTATGTATTAATATAAATAAGTAGTTGAAATTTATAAATTAACTTTTTTGAAAAAAAAATTACAAATTACAAGTCCACAAGAAAGTTAAGAAATCATTATGAGAAATGTTACGAACAAGGAAACCATGTAAATATGAGAAAGACAATTAGAAATCCCAACAGAATTTGAGGCCTCCTTACGTATTTGACTAACATTATGATGTATATTTGGATTTGGAATAGAAGAAGGTACAAATTGAAGGAACGCATCACCCATCATCTTTCCAAGCTCAACTTGGGCCTGGGTCGAAAGATGAAGCCCATCGGGCTGAAGAGGCAGGCCCTTAGCATCCACAGTTTTCAGGTTCAAGAGGTCAATACTCAGCTGGGCTTGTCTCACTATCTCTACGTATGGGCCTGACCCAGATGCCAAAGCCACCTACAATAGATACATACATACAAATGAATATGGTTAATGATAGAGATGCTTTACTATCTTGGATTAAGATTTTTGTTAAAGGTTTCTAGATAGCTTAGTATTGAGTTTAAGTTGTCTTTGTGAAGTAATTAGCAAGGGAAAACCAATGCATCAAGTGGTTAAGCTATGAAAGCAATTTATTGGCACTATATGTTAGTAGTAGTTAGCATGAATTGACAAGAAATCACCCGATAGGTAATCAATTATTATACTATGCTAAATCTAAAACTTGTTCAATAGTAACAGAATAACAATATGGCAGTAAGTATAGAGAATTTATATCACCCTTTTATTTATAAAAAAATAAATTGGAGAGTTTGTGTTGGTCGCTATTAGTATACATTTTTTTTATGTGATGTTTTGTTTGATTTTAATCCTTACAAATACTTTTTATTTGATTTCATTCTTTATAAAATTAATTTATATTAGAATTCATATTTAATATATAAAATATTTAATTTTAATATTTATGTTTCTACTATTTGAAAGACTAAATCAAATAATTTTCTGATTATATGAACTAATTTTAATATAAATTAATGTTATAAAAATAAAATTTATTTTGCAAGTCTAATACAAAAGAATAAAAAGACATGTACAAACTTTAAATAAAATAAATATATTATAATAAAAAAGACAAATATTTTTTTTTTAAGGATATGGTATCTCTAAGATAGATTCAAATCAAACATGGAGAAAACAAATAAAAAAAATATATAATTTAGGTATGAAATACACAATATTAGCAATTAGCGATTGTATTATTCTACCAAGAAATTAAATTAAGTAATATCTCTGGTCATTTGACCTCCATGAAAGGATTTTGATTTTTTTTAATCAAATGTGAAAGTATTGATTCTTTATTGTGAAACATATGCAAATTTATTTTATTCTAGATAATTTAAATACTCGACAATCAGGTGACTTAAAAACACTCACGAGTCTTCTTTGATTCACAAAATTGAAGGGCATGATCATTGATGACATTTGAAAGGACAAAAAGAGTTTCCGACCACTATAGGACATTACTCTAAATCTATCTACACAAACAAACTCCACCATTTAGGAATAGATGTTGAGTTTTCATTTTTTCAACATCTAATTGTACATTTCCTAAAACTTGATGGTATTATTCCACGACGCTCTAGATTGTCTTTAATATGTACTTTTAAGCAACATGATTTTGTTCAAATGAGCTTTGGAGTCAAATCAGGATTAGTACAATTTTAATGAATCAAAATAGTATATCTACCTTTTACGGAGTAATTATCATCAGTGAAAGGTCAACTTCAAAAGATTAGCAATATATTCCTACAATACAATAATAACTAACAAAGATTGGAACTGCCATATTCATCTCCTTACAAGCAAAAAGTATCCTCGCCAACTCATGACTCCCATCCTAATATTTTCATCTCCGCTATAAAAATATTCTTGTCAATCGCTAACTCAAAAAGACGTCGGAACTTAGAACAAAGATTGTTCATTCCCCATATCCCACTAAACATGACAAACAATTATTTAACATCATCATGGAATCAACCTCAACAATTTCATGACTTTAGACAAGTTCTTCCACTACACACACCTTGCTACCTCCACCTTTAATACGATTATCACCTTCAACCATACTTAGTTGCTAAAATCTTATACCACAAACCATCCTGGTCAACATGCATCCTTCACAACCACTTGCATATCCTTCACAACCACTTGCATATCAAGGCAAAATTGAAAATTTGTATCCTCCCCACCCTAACCCACCTACTTCCTTATCTACACACACTTTATCTAAATTAATCCAATGGGTTTTATGCACCCTCTTCACAAAAAAAAAAACTTAATAAGAATTCAATAGATAAATAATACATGCAATAGAAAATTGACATAGATGTTATACATATTTGATGAAAATAAGGTGACCACCCATGGACAGGTTTTCGCTTTTCCCCTATTTTGGAGTCTTGGATAGAGAAATATAATCTTGTCAATTTTATAATTTAGTACCACTGAAACCTCCAAAGAATACGCAACATTATTATTATTGATTATCACAATTATGATGATTAACCTTTAAACCCACAATGATTTCAAAGAAAATTAAAACCGCTTTTAAATATCTAATATTTTCTCAACTCTCCTTGCATAAGATCAGAGTGTCGTTTGTAAATTGCAAGTGGGTGATTATGAAATTAGAGTATCTGCATATCCTCTAACTTATACAAAGATCGGAGTTGAGTCAAGCGTTCAACATAACATTCAAGCCTTTTTCCATGATCAAGAACATAAACGATTATAGAGGGCCACGTTGTTCCAAACCTCTCTCAATTGCAAATTCTTTAGTTAAACTTATGTTAACGAGAATAAACACTAAAACTAGTAAACTCCCTACACTCCATAATTCAATATTTTCATCTCCTTCGAAAGCCCACATTTCCGTTACATTTTTTGAATACCATTTATTCTATTTAATTACATGTTTTTTTAAAAAAAACACTTTAAACATCATCAAATATTTTTTTGACTAGGTGTCAGAAATAACAATATTAATAACAAGTATCATACAATTTACTAGAACATTAGACATAACTTTATACATACACCCCCCACTAAAGAATTCAGTTAAAAGTCTGACAATCTTTAAGGATATTAATTTTAAGAATCATGATAACTAAAGTGCAATTATAATTTTTAACAAACTTGTCATTTATAAAAAAATTTGACACAAATCTCATAAAATCCAATTTAAGATCCGACCAAATTTATTTTTTAATGAAACCAAAATCAATTTCATCCGAGTGTGGGCTCTTGTAGCTTTCACATTCCAACCTAATTGTCTTCACCTCTTCCTCCAAAAAAAATGACTAACTTGCTAAACCATCTCACTATCTCTAAAATTCTTAAATTGAAAAACTATTTTCGAAAGTTAAATATTTTCCAAAATTTTTAATTCTAAATATCTAATTTATATTTTTTTTAAATATATATGTTTATGATAGAAATTAGCATGATTATTAAAAAAAAATACTACTATTTTGATATGGAATAGATATTTAAACACCCCAACCACATTTTTCTTGAAAATAAAAGCAACCAATCTAAACCTAACAGTTTAATGATTGATTAATAACCAATAAACAGACTCTCAATTCCAAAATAAATAACCCATTTAAAAATATCATATAATTTTTTTTTAAAAAACAAACCTGAATTATAGGAAGCAATGGAGCCTGCAAATCACCCCGAACATCCAAGAAAAACCTCCGTACATTACTCTGATAAGCCTCCGCATCCCTTAAACTCACCGTATCAGACTCTCCTTGAAACCAAAGAATCCCCCGAACATCACCACCCTCACGCAACGAAGCCTTAACCCTCTTCATCATGTGGCTATAAAGCCCTTTACCCTTTTCCCATTCACTTATATTGGTACCACCAATCGCACATGGCACCAACCCCACCACGCCAACTCCCATGTTTTTTCCCAACACATGGTTCGCAAACACCATTCCGGGTCCAATCCCGTTTGTTTTTTCTCTGTCTATGTCTTCGTGAAGAGGCTCTTGCGCTTCCACCCATTTGAGATGTGAGTTGAGTTTCAGAATTGAAGGGTTTGGGTTGCATTCAGGTGGAATGACACCGTCCCAGGTTGTTAAACCGGTTGTTGTGTCGTTTGTTACGCCTCCTCTGCCGGCCATGTTGCTTTGTCCGGCTAATATGAATATGTTTTTTTCTGCTTGGGTGAGATTCATTGGCCATGGTTGAATAATCAGAAGCAGAAAAAACAGTGACGAGAAAAAGGATGACATTTACGGTTCTTGGGTTTGAGATAGAAGCTGTTTAATTATATACGACATACCTCAAAAATATCGAGAATAAATTATAGTATGAAATATCTTCTCTGTTATTGTGCAAAATATAATATACAATATTTGTTAATTGCTTTTCATATACACTGTCTTTATAGACTCCGGTTTTTCAAACTTTGGGAATGGATAGAATTATAAATTAATTAAACAACCGCTAGAAAGAGAAGTCTTGGTCTACTCTTGTTCAAAAAATAAAATTTTTGGTCTATAGTTTAGGTTTTTTAAATAATGGAGTTGGGGATTGGTCTAAATAAGACATCCATGATTGGATTTGGAATAACGTTTATATTAAGCCTAAAATATATATTAATGAAGACTGGCCCAAATTATCAGCATTAAGGTAAATTCCATAGTTCATTACACCAAAAGTAGTTTATGTTGAATAGTTGGTCTACAAATATTGCTTTTCTATTTTGGTGGACGGTGTTTACTTGAGGAAGACAAGTATTTGAGCCAACAAATAGTTATTGTCAAGAAAAAGTTAATTATTTAAATTTTTTTTAGGGAGGGAGAGTAGGCATAAAAAGAAATTGAAGTGGCAAAAAAAATAATTCAAAGTCACATTGATTATGAGTTTGATTTCTATCAATCTCAATTGAATAAAGATTTGAAGTGAAATCTACTAAATTAGGCGTATTTTTTTTTCTTTTTTTTTATTATTATTAAAAATAAATAAGATTTTGTATTGATTGGTAAAAGTGATATTGATCATGAATTCGATTTTCAACAATAATATTTTTGTCGAAGGAATAGGACCCTAATAAGGTAGACTTTTTAAGTCAGGTAGTATTTCACTCAATAACAAACAATGCCTCGATCAATCTGTTAGTTCTATGATTGACAACAATTTTGAAAACTTGGTGTTATCACAAGATGTCTTATAGGATGTCTTGACATATGATCTTAACATTCTGCAGGTGGTTATTCTTAATGTTGTAGGGTTTTAGTTCATGATGTCAAGTATGATGTCCTGACATTTGTGTACGGAACATTTAGTCTGAATGTTATGGTTTGTCTGTTGCATTTTTGTGCAACCTTGGGTGCTTTTATGGTAAGAGATTTTGCTGGTGCAAATCAACATTGAGATCTTCTTTAAACAAAAGAGCTTCTGATAGATAATCCGTGGAGAACTGTGGAATCTTTTGTTCTATTTTCATGCAAAAAATCTTGAGAAGATTTGAAGTTTGATTTGATCAAATCTGATTTGGTTCTATTTCTATGATGTTATTTATGAAAAGATTTGAAGAATTATCTGATTTGATTTTATCAAATCAGAGGTAGTTTTGCTAAAGTCCAAGTCCATTCAAAGTGTTACTATATAAAGACTTTACAATCCTTTTTTGAAGATAGAGAAGCTAGGGTTGCGAGTGTGCATTGCTTAAAGAATAAGGTTTATATCTTCTTGTGTTATTGTTAATTGTGGGTCATTCACTCATCACTTTGATGTGTGAATTGGACTGAGTCTTTGAGTTGTAAGTTGTTCACTATAAGCTTTTAAGCACGAGTGCATTGTTCTTGATTGAAACTTTTAAGCAAAATCAAGTATTGTCCTTGAAGGGTGTCTTCTACATTTTAATAATCTATTTTTATCACTGCTGTGATTGAGGGGGAGTGAGAGGTGTCTCTTATCTAAGAGTGTCTTAAATAGAAATTGCAAGGGTAGAGATTAGGTGCGAAGATTGTAAACTAGAGAGAGTTTACTGAGAATCTTCAAACTAATTCTATTTAGTGAATTTCCTTCCTGGCTTGGTAGCCTCCAGACGTTGGTGTGTTTGCACCGAACTGGGTTAATAATTGCTTGTGTCTCTTTACAACTGTTAACTGCTTTTTATCTTGTTCATATATTGGTAACTGTTCAGATATTAGTGTCGTGACATCTCTTTTGATATCTCATATCTGATACCAGAGTTTCAATTAGTATCAGAGTAGGCATCCTGCTCTGGTTCTGGGTGAGATTTAGGGACGATACTTTCTGGTACTATGGACAAAGAAGGAGGATTTGTGAACAGACCACCTGTTCTGGATGGAAATAATTATGATTATTGGAAACCTCGCATGGTGGCCTTCTTGAAATCATTGGATAGTAAGGCTTGGAAAGCTGTCATAAAAGGATGGGAACATCCTGTGACTGTTGGGAAAGATGGAAAAGCTACATCAGACCTAAAGCCTGAGGATGAATTGGCTCTTGGAAATTCTAAAGCCTTGAATGCTTTGTTCAATGGAATTGATAGAAATATATTTAGTTTGGTAAACAATTGTGAAGTTTCCAAAGATGCTTGAGAGATACTCAAAACTACTCATAAAGGTACTTCTAAGGTAAAGATGTCAAGACTTCAATTGCTAACTACCAAATTTGAAAACTTAAGGATGAAAGATGATGAAAGCATACATGATTTCCGTATGAATATTCTTGAAATAGCCAATGCTTCAAGTGCCCTAGGTGAAAAGATGTCAGAAGAAAAGCTTGTAAGAAAGATTCTCAGGTCTCTTCCCAAGAGATTTGATATGAAAGTAACTGCCATAGAAGAAGCTCAAGACATCTGCAAGATGAAGGTAGATGAATTTATTGGATCTCTTTTAACCTTTAAAGTGGGGATAAGTGACAAATCTGATAAGAAAAAGAGCATAGCCTTTGTGTCCAATGCTGAAGATGGAGAGGATGAATGTGATGTAGATACTGATGAAAGCTTATCCAATGTTATAGTGCTCCTTGGAAGACAGTTTAACAAGGTAATTAAGAGGATGGATATGAAGTCAAGACCAAATGTCAAGAACAACGCGTATGACATCAGCAGGCCTAATGATGATGGTAGAAGAACAAGGTCTGAAGGGATTTAGTGCCACGGATGTGAAGGATTTGGTCACATTATAGCTAAATGCCCTACTTACCTCAAGAAACAAAAGAATAGCCTAGTTGTTTCCTGGACTGATGAGGATTCTAAAAGTGATCTTGAAGAAGAATCTGCTAAACATGTGACTGCTTTAACTGGGAGATATAACTCTGATGAAGAATCTAGTGATGATGAATTAACCTTTGAAGAACTTGCAGCTTCCTACAAAGAGTTGTGTCTCAGAAGTGAGGAAGTATGCTATCAGGGAGAAAAGCAGAAGAAACTTATAATCAGACTAAAGGCTGAAAAGGAACAGCATCTTAAAACCATCTCTGAATTGAATGATGAAGTTACACTGCTGAATTTCTAACTTGATCAAATGTCCATGTCTGTTAGAATGCTGAACAGTGGAACTGACACTTTTGATGAAATCCTTCAGGTTGGAAAAAGGGCAGGAGACATGACTGAGATAGGGTTTGATGGAGAAAAGAAACCATCTTCAGAATGTAGTCCCTCTTCACACCATAATCCTTCTAGGCCTAAGCAAATTATGTCACATCAGATGTCTCAATATTATGGCAGAGGATAGCCCAACCACCCAAGAGGAAGATTCTAAAGATGGAGATGTCATTATTGTGGACGCTTTGGTCACATAAAGCCTTTCTGCTTCAGGCTGCATGGATATCCTAAACCTATTCCTCAACCTAGACCCAATCACAACATTCCTTCTAATAGGAAGCAATGGGTTCCTAAAGCTGTTACTACCAGCTTGATAGCTCATATGTCTCTCAGAGTCTCAGCTAAGGAAGATTGGTATTTTGACAGTGGGTGCTCCAAAAACATGACAGGAATTGAAAATCTCTTAGTAGACATCAAATCCCATTCTACTAGCTATGTGACTTTTGGTGATAGATCCAAGGGTGAAATTAAGGGAGTTGGAAAATTGAACTGCTCAGGAGTTCCAAACCTTGACAATGTGTTGTTGGTTAAAGGATTGACTGCCAACTTGATTAGCATCAGTCAACTATGTGATCAAGGATTCAATGTCAACTTCACGAAATCTGAATGCTTGGTTACAAATGAAAAGAGTGAAGTGATTATGAAGGGAGTCAGATCTAAGGACAACTGCTATCTATGGGTTACTCAAGATTCTAAATGTGCTATAGCTAAAGAATATGAAGTGAAACTGTGGCACCAAAAACTTGGTCACTTGCATCTGAAAGGGATGAAGAAGATCAAATCTATGGAAGCTGTCAGAGGAATTCCTAAGCTAAAAATTAAAGAAGGAAAGGTTTGTGGTGAATGCCAAGTTGGAAAGCAGACTAGGATGTCACACCAGAAGATTAAACATCTCACTACTTCAAAAGTGTTGGAACTCCTTCACATGGACTTGATGGGACCTATGAAGGTGGAGAGTCTTGGTGGAAAGAAGTATGCCTATGTGGTGGTGGATGATTTTTTCAGATATACTTGGGTGAATTTTATAAGAGAAAAATCTGAAGTGTTTGATGTGTTCCAAGATCTCTATCAAAGAATTCAAAGAGAAAAGGAGAGCAATGTGGTCAGAATCAGAAGTGATCATGGGAAGGAATTTGAGAATCAAAGCTGAATTTTGCTCATCTGAAGGGATTAGCCATGAATTCTCTTCTCCTATTACTCCACATCAAAATGGAGTTGTAGAACAAAAGAATAGAACTATCCAGGAATCTGCTAGAGCTATGATCCAGGTAAAGAAACTTTGTAACCACTTCTAGGCTGAAGCTATGAACACTGCCTGCTATGTTCATAATAGAGTGACCTTAAGAACAGGAACCATGACCACCTTGTATGAGATATGGAAGGGAAGAAAGCCTAATGTCAAATACTTCCATGTGTTTGGAAGAAAATGTTACATATTGGCAGATCTTGACCAGAGAAGAAAGATGGATCTAAAAAGTGATGAAGGAATATTTTTGGGCTATTCTACTAACAGTAGAGCCTATAGAGTATTCAACTCTAGAACTAAAACTATGATGGAGTACATCAATGTTGTTGTTGATGATGTGCATAAGAATACTGATGTCCTAGAAGATGTTGGAACATCCCTTGATACCTTAGCAGAGTCTGCAG